CTTTTCAAACTAAAAAAACTTCTCTGTGTTCAGAAAATCTCTGAGAACGCGTGTTTATGCCCTTTGTTCATGTGTAGTGATTGTTTAGGAATCAATAAAGGCCTCAATAGATGATAGCAAGTCAATGGCCTTAATAGATATTAGCAAGTCAAAAAGGCCTAAAAAGGCGTTTTTGACTTGCTATCATCCGTGATTAGTATTTTTTGATACCCTCCGGGAAGCTGGAAAATTGTTAATTGGTATTTGAAAGTTTGGAAATTTCGAGAAGTATTAAAGATTTCTGTGGGCATATAAGCATCTTTCATAGGGCCGCCCTTTCTAAATGACGATCGGCGGCATCGTAGGCAAGACTGGCACCTCTTATAGAGGAATGTACAAATCTGTTCCACTTTCAAATTTTGATAAGCGATTTTCAGATCCTTATTATGCTAGTCTGCTCTGACTGTATAGCCTCATATCTTACAAGATAGTAGCGTATAAAAGACCAGTACGGTTATGTTAACTTAACTCAAGTTCACATCATTTTGGAGTTATTGTCTGTTTACGGACAGCTTCTGATGCTTTTTCTGAGTAATTTCTGTGATATCACTTCTTAAAATCGTAATTGAATTAGTTTTCGCTACAGGAAAAGGTGCAATCTAGAAAGGAAGTTTTCTACAAAGTTGTGAGTAGCGATTGCACAGTCAGTGCGCTTTCAAACTGCGAATCCGACAGTTTGTGGATATTTACTTAACTGCTAAGATTATTCTGTAATGAAGTTTCAGCCAGGGTTGCTTCTAATGGGGTTGCATGAATCTTAAAGGCAGCGTCCGGGCAAAATTTCGAATAGAGTTTTTTTTCTAGCTCGGCTTATTCTTCCTGCTGATTCTGAAAATGCAGCTTGGAGGGCACGAAGACGCCGAAAACGGGCTTTTCTAGAAGCTCTTGATTTGAATTTTGTCGCCAGAGTCTTTGTGGGACCCTACGTCTTGAGTGTGTTGCGCATTCTGGCTTATCGCACTAACTCGTCCCGGTCGCCACTTCTGAAGAAGATTTTTCGCTTCAGAAGCAAATTGCCGCATTGCCAGTTGATCAGGAGTCTTACCAGGACGAGCGCCCCTGTACTCTACATTTTTGTATCTGCCCGGACACTGCTTCTAAGTCCTGCTGATTATATCGCACAGCTGCATTTAAGATTTACTCCAGAAATCCTCTTGAATCGCTCGTCTAGATGGCAGATAACCTTCCAGGGCATTGCGAGATTTTGGCTCTTCGTTCCCTGAATCTGAATTTTTTCGCTGGCCTTGCACCACCCAAAAGGAAGAGGTATCCCTGCTAAATACAGTGCATATTTTGATGGCTCTCTCGAGTACCTTGCATTCAAATTTCAGCTTAGAGGATGCAATCATTCAAAAATCGCTTTTCATACATCGATTTCATAACCATACAAACTTCTTTATTGGGCGATTTTTGCATGTTTGGCGCGATCCCCGAAAACTAGAAAATTCTCGCTACAAAACCATATATAGCAACCCCTATTAGCCCTATTCTCTCGAAATTATGGCATCAATGTCAGAAGCTCAAAAAACGAAAAAACTTTTGGGATGAATTTAGCAACGGATCCTTTTCTCGCATTTTCCACTGGTTGAGATTTTCCGGATTGCTGTCGAGCGTCTTGCATGACAAGTACAAATACTACATATGCTATCTTGAACTATCTTTTATGTTCGGTACTTTGGCAACGCAAGCGAAAACTTGGTCGTTTATATGTGGCTCACCAACAACATAGCTGCACTAATAATTTCAGGACTGGGATTTTTGAAGTCATAATGGAGCTAATATGAATGTATTCGTATGCACTGTGGGCAATCGGATATATCTAGTAAATTCAAAGCGCGTGAAGCTTTTTAAGCCTTCACAATTTGACTGTGGCGCAATCACTTTCCGGCATAACATAGATTAGGTAGTGTTGCAAATGTGCTAAAACAGTTTGATTTATCATAGCGGAGTGGATAGAATTTACGCATTTTTCGAAAGCTGATCAAATTCGAAATTTTCATGGCGGTAATCAAAAATAAAGCCGTTCCCAGTCTGAATCGAACGCATCAGCCGAAACTGTATAGATCATTAGAGATCCCTCTATCAACAATCTGGGTGCAGTTTCGGCTTGATGTGTTTGTTTTAGACTAAGGAAATGTATTTTTGGTTTTCCGATCCTTAAAATTTCGAATTGGAGCAACATTCGAAAAGGCTAGGAGTTTCACTACTTTGCTACCAAAGATCAAACTGTTCGCGACACGTGTAGTAGCCTACTACCTAATCTACATTATGCCCGAAACTGAATGCGTCACACTCAGAGAAAAGTTACGAAACCAGTTGCAAAATTTATGTACCAACCCATTACTAGCAAGCATCGCTATAGTTCGCTCAGACTGCGTGGTTGATATGTAGTTCACTTCTCATATTAAAAAAAAACTCTAATTTCCTCTGCTATGAAAACATATCGGCACCATATCTGATAGTAGTTGAACATCTCCACGAAAGGAGCCGAAGTTGTATTTTTCATAAATCGAGCAGTTGAAGGTGCCAGACACTTTTGAGCTCCGGCATTTGTACGCTGGCCAAAAGAGCCTAAATTCTGTAAGAATAAGAGTACTGCATCAAACATGAATTATCTTTTGTTGCACCTGTCAAACAAAAAAAAATTGTAAGGTAAATTTCACAGCAGGTTACATACATAAAGATGTCGGGTCAAACGCACGTTCGCATAAATATATCATTTTCATTTAAAAGGACGTGATCTAATTTGTATACTGATGAGGTGGATAAGATGTCGAAACAAATTTGTCAGTGTTCAGGCTTGATTTCGCTCGCTTCTCGAAGCGATTCTGAGTGAAAAAAACTAATTTGTGTTTTACAATAGATTTTCGATTAGTCTAACAACTGCATTACTGCGCGCAAACACTGACAAAGTTCGAAACCAAAATCAAAGGTGTTCCCTTAATGGACAGTGATGCATGGCTTCCAAAAATTATATCTAATTCGTTTAAAAACACATACATTTTTGTCCGTCCAACTATTCCTAACAATCTCAGAAGGAACTAGTAGAACTTCACAACTTTATGAAATGAAAGATGGTCATGCCGTTTCCATTTATGTTTTCTCTGAATTCGCTTCTAATAATGTGAAAGGGTTCTGAACACATCTTTAAGAAGTAAGATTACAAGCTTCTCATTTGTTTTCTTATAATCATAAAGTCATCTACAAACTGAACGTCGGAAGAAATCAGGTTGCCTCATATTTTTTACTGCTCTCGATTTCTCTGATCATCATGATCATGACTTATAATAACGGGCTAAGGGTTGTTTACGCGTGTGTGTGTGTGTGTGTGTGTGTGTGTGTGTGTGTGTGTGTGTGTGTGTGTGTGTGTGTGTGTGTGTGTGTGTGTGTGTGTGTGTGTGTGTGTGTGTGTGTGTGTGTGTGTGTGTGTGTGTGTGTGTGTGTGTGTGTGTGTGTGTGTGTGTGTGTGTGTGTGTGTGTGTGTGTGTGTGTGTGTGTGTGTGTGTGTGTGTGTGTGTGTGTGTGTGTGTGTGTGTGTGTGTGTGTGTGTGTGTGTGTGTGTGTGTGTGTGTGTGTGTGTGTGTGTGTGTGTGTGTGTGTGTGTGTGTGTGTGTGTGTGTGTGTGTGTGTGTGTGTGTGTGTGTGTGTGTGTGTGTGTGTGTGTGTGTGTGTGTGTGTGTGTGTGTGTGTGTGTGTGTGTGTGTGTGTGTGTGTGTGTGTGTGTGTGTGTGTGTGTGTGTGTGTGTGTGTGTGTGTGTGTGTGTGTGTGTGTGTGTGTGTGTGTGTGTGTGTGTGTGTGTGTGTGTGTGTGTGTGTGTGTGTGTGTGTGTGTGTGTGTGTGTGTGTGTGTGTGTGTGTGTGTGTGTGTCCGTTACGAAATTCGTAGAACATGTTCCAGCCAACCTCCTGAGCCCAAATTTTGCACAGCGCATGGTACTAACATGAGAGTCCACTGTACAAAAGCATGAGCGGATCCTTTGTGTGCACCCTCAAAAAATGCGCTCAAAATGCGCGTCGTTTTTTACTGCTCTCGATTCCACTGATCTTAATTATACCCTGTTGCTCCCTGGATAAATTTTAGGTTACCATTCAATAAAGCAGAACATAATTCGTAAAACAGTTCTTGAACATTGACGCAGAGGTCGTTCCCCAGAACATTCGATTCTAAAAACAAACCGCCTAAGTGTCGAAAAACCAAAAAAAGGTTTTTCCGTACGAAAAAAAATCCACGGCCCTTCCTTCCTCTGAAGGGCTACTCACCACATCTGGCATTTTTCTGTAGATTTGCTTATGCTCCCATATCAGGAATTCAAGAAAACAACAAGTTCCCACGTACTCTCTTTTTTAAACCTGGGCATGTTGTATCGGATATCGTGTATTGTTCTTCTGCCAACCAGGTTTGTGGTGGATCTTTATTCACCTTACGTTTCGACTAATATCGTCTTCTTTGGAGGTCTCTAATCCACCTTGGAGTCAGTAGTCCGCACGGATGTGACGGACATCACTCTATAAAATGTCTAGAATCTAGAAGAAGACGATATTACTAGTCGAAACGTAAGGTCAATAAAGATCCACCACAAACCTGGGACAGAAGAACAATACACGATATCCGATACAACAAGTTCCATTTAAAGTCGTGCTGAGTTTCTCGCACATAGGTAAATTTGTACCATGGACTGGAAGTATAATTATGGGCTCTCAGCCTTTTGCATGTGCTGATTGTAAAAAATTCGAAGCTGGAGCAAAAAAAAACAAAAAAGGCGATTCGCACTTTTGGCTTATGTGTTTCCCATTTTTGCGAAATTAAAATACAGGAATGATATCCACGAAAGTCCATGCGAAATGGGCTTTTTGTGCGAATAAAATGGACTTAGTCCATGCGATGCGATAAGATATCGCATTCGCTGATCCATCCATCCTTTCTCAACTTGCATCAAACTGTTTCCTCACTCTTGCAAACTCATTTCCACCAAGTGGTCGACTCCTACTAGGCTGAACTAACATTACAATATCAGTCACGTTGGTATTTTATTTTTCCCCACTTCGTTACACCTCACGAAATGCCACTTATGTCTATATTACTTCCAAAACTAAAATTCATGTAATATCTGGGCCTTCGCTTTTCAAGACTTCTATGAATTTACATTATGTCAAATTCTTATGAAGAGCTTTCTGCAGAAAGCAAACTTTGCTAGACTTCCATTGCAATCTGTGATTCAAAATGCTTATGTCATAGGAAATCTTGTACTACACTACAACTCAAAGGGTCTTTCAACTGACTTAAGCAGTGTCCCATTAGAATTTGGATCTCGGGATTTTTGCAAATTACAAGTCTTCTCGCCCTTATGTAAACCTAGACGGGCTCTAATTTGCGCAAAAATCCCTGAAACTCCGTTTTTCGAAACCCCTTTAGAAGCGACGCGGACGAGCTTTCCCGCTTCACTCCAGTTCTGGCCACAGGAATGAACACGTCAAGAAGGATGGCGTCGCCTGGAAAGATGTGTTGAAGTGCGATAGAGGAACGGAGAATTCGTCCAGCGCGAGCCGAAATGCGCTTCGCGAGCCACTTTGAGCCGAAATTTTCTCGATGTAGGAAAGGCCTTATAAAGTGGGACTTGGGCATTGGCCTAGTAAGGGGGTCCTCCAATAAACTTAGTGAAAATCTGGTATACTCTAAATCTGGTGAGACACTGCCTTTAAAGGCAGTGTCCCGGCAGATTCGGGTCCTGGGGGATATACATGTGGTGGGGTTCCTGGTCACCCAACCGACCTCCAGGCGCAGTCCGGCTGGGTGATGTTCCCCCTGGGCCGAGAAAATGGCCCTTGAACCGGCGCGCGCAACCCCAACTGGCGCGCGCTTGGACGGCCTTCCTTTTCTGTTCGGCGCGGGACCTCACGAGCGCTCTCCCCCATGATGTATGCTATCCAAAGCAAGAATTACAGGCGGCAGGGTCTTCGTTTTAGGACCCCTCCCAACTTTCCATTAAAAATCTCGTCCGAGCTGCTTTTTTGGAATTAGGAAAACGCCCCAAAATCGGCCTTTTCAGCCCGTTCAAAGCTCAAATTCGGATTCTACGTGGCGAAAAGGCCTAAAACATGCAAAAAGATGGAGGTGCAAAATCTACCGGGACACTGCCTTTAAGTCGGAAAAACTACAAATCTGCAAAAAGATGACCGCAGATGCTCTCTTTTGCTCTTCTTTCCCTTTTAGCACTATGTTTATATCTCTAAATAGTTGAACAATCATATCAAACAACCTACATTTTAATCACGTGTGTTGCCAATTTCTGAGATTTTGTAGTAATCCGAAAACTAACTTCAGATAGACGAGGAAGCTTTTCTCCGCAATTACTTGGGGATTAAAGACATCTAAACACCTTAATGATTTTTCCATCACCGCATCTGCATCGAGTGTGTGAAGAATTAGTGGTTTATACAAAACTTCAAATTTGCAAATTTTCAAGTCATAAAGTATGCAAAGTAATTCTTATCAGTATCTACAGTTATCAGTATTTCTTTGGACCAAATTCAAAATCACGAACTTCAAAATGCCGTCTATGATGGTCGGTTTTACGAGATTAGTCAAAAGATAGCTTCTGAGTAATTTTAATTTTTGAATACAAATAATATTTAGTTGTTGATGATTTAAAGAGGACATATTTGGAAGCATTTGAGTTCTTAGTAAATAGTGAATATCTTGGTGAATTAAACCTTCTTCCATGATTTTTATAGCTTTTATATGTGTACAGAAGGAAACACTCATTTCAGTCTCCATAAAAGTCATAAAACTTCTTCCTCTTACGTAACCTTAGAAAGGCTAAGGAACACACTCTCAAAAAATTGCAGTAAAATATGCAAAAAGGTCAAAAATGGGCTTAGTCCCAGCTCACCTTGCTGCTGGGAGTGAAATGGACTTCCAAGTCCATTTAAAATGGAGGTAAATCCCATTTTGCCCTATTCTAAATGGACTTCTCGCATGATACTATCGCGAGCGAGAGCTCGGATAAGGTTGAATCATTTTCGTTAAAGGCCGGGCATACTTCACGCGATTTCAGTCGCGACGCGATTTGGCAATTCGCCAGAATTCTTCAGATTCAACACTAGCAAACTCTACATGCACAGTGTATATAACTTACGTTAATTGATAAAATGCCGTATCTTCTGTACATTTAAAATGTGTTTACAGTAAGTTAAGGACAGTTGGAAATTTGCCAAATCGCGTCGCGACTGAAATCGCGTGAAGGATGCCCGGCCCTTTAGGCCTCGGACAGAGTTCACGCGATTTAATCGTTGCGATTCATTCAATCGCTACAAGACAACTGTTACGAGTTCATTGCATGCCGATCAGCTTGCATTTCGGTTGTGATACTTTTCCAGCTCGAGATTTTTGAAGTAAAATAAAAATGAATGAAAATTGCGGCGATTGAATCGCGGCAATCAAATCGCGTGAACTCTGTCCGAGGCCTTACACCGCTTTGCCTCGTGGTTGCAATGAGATAAAAATCATGACTTATAATAAGGGGCTAAGGGTGTTTACGTGTTTTTGTGTGTGTGTGTGTGTCTGTCTGTCTGTAACGAAATTCACAGAACGAGTCGCAGACAAGGTATCGAGCCGCAGTTTTTTGCACAACACACACTGCCAACATCTAGATTCAACATGCAAAAGCACGAGCGGATTCACTGAGTATATCTCTCAAAAAGTGCACCCCCAAATGGATCCACTCAACTTCTGGCGCGCAAAATTGGGTCGAATCACCAATTTTTCCAGAGTTCTGGTCATGCTTATCAAGTTAATGTGTAAGCCATGAAGTTTAGCCCAAAAAAGTGACCAAAAGTCTATCACGCTACGAAAACGGCGCCAAAAGAGATTGGTTGTGTGAATGGCGGGTTTGCCACGGTTTTACATGATCATTTTAGGAAATTTTTGCACAGGGATGTAGGTCACGATAGATATTCATTTTTATGGCGACTACCAAGCCATGAAAAAGTTGAAAAGTGTTCTAAATCTGCATTTGTTCTCCATCTTCCAAAGTTTCATACACACAAAATACCGATCTCACACGAAAAAGCTTTCGGAATGAATAGCTGTTTACGACTTATTCGCGAAGGCAGGCATTGCGCGGTAAGTTCCACTGTCATGTTATGCGAGAATGAGTGAGGTATATAAATAGAAGAACCAGTGCGAGCCTCCTGCGCACTGGTTTTTAAATAACGCTAGCAAAAGTAGATTCCGACCAGTTTTTACCGCGAACGAATAAAATGAGGTTTGGAAATCCATTTTCCTGCATTATGGACATTCTCAAACAAATGACCGGAACTTCCGCTTTGTGGAAGTTCCGCCGGGTCACCTGCGGAAGTTCCGTAAACGTGCTGCGGAAGTTCCGAAGAATGCCAACCACAACAGCAAAAGAGGACACCTAAGCGAGATTTGAACCTCACTCTATTGACTATGAGACCCACCTACTATCCTCTACACCATAGCTGACGTGTTTGATAATGCACTCTACTTGTTGGCGAGGCAACATCACGGGATAACACATTCAAAGTCCTGCGGAAGTTCTGGCAGGCCAAAGTGCTGCAAAACCTCTGGCATTTTTCGCAATTTCCGCAGGATTTTGACGAAGGTTCTGCGGAAGTTCCGGTTTTCAACCAGTATGGCATGAAAATCCCGCGGAAGTTCCGATTCAACGTTTTTTGGCAATAGTGAACAAAGTTCTGCGGAACCTTGGCTTGTCCTGCTGAAGTTCCGGTGATTTGTCTGAGTTCATGGATAACATTCCAGGATTACGTGTGAATCCCAATGCGGAAAGTATTCGTTGAGCAAGTAAAATTCGTAAAATTTTTCTGAAAGGAACTGGGATGTTTTTCTCGAATTCAAGCATTCAGATCTCTTTAGAATTTGACTTCGAATCAACTTTCATGCGAACGTTGTGGACCTTTGCTGCAGAACCTGGTTTGCTTTATTGACAAATTCTATTTAGAGGGCAAGAAATGATTCATCCGAGGAGAAGCCGAAAAGTAAAACTATGACACAAACAAATTTTGTACTGAGCATGAAAAAAACTTAAACAAAGCGTTTCATGTAGGCATCTCGGGAAGAGAAACGTACTCAAAAGCTGTGCCGTTGCATTGAGTGATTCAGTGACTCCAAAACTGACAACCACATATGTACGTATTAGAAACGATCTTGATAAGCTGTTTACAGTTCGATATTCTGAAAGATATGACAGTGGCATTGGCTGTTCGAGCTGTTTGGTCAGCGAAAGGGGCGCTTCAAGTGAACCAAAGTGTCAGATTCTTTATAAAACGCTTTTATAGTAACGGCCGAAACAGGTGGATTTCGTTGATTTTTATTAGAGCACATTTTCATTTGTGATCTTACTCTAAAAGCGATATCGTAGCTAGACCTCAATCTGGCAACTTGATGCTGACTGTTCGCCTTCTTTTCAGAATGGTTAATCTTCCATTTGGCTATGTTTACGATGAGAGGATGTTAGATCACGAATGTAGATATGATGGTACAATGCAGGAACGTCCGCAACGCATGACTCTCATACACGAACGATTGGAAAAAGATGGTTTTTTGAAGGGAGCTGTAAAGGTAAGCAGATGTTAAATCTCTTCTACCTTGCATAAGCAAAGGACAAATTAGCAGTCTTTGCGAGGAGAATGTCTGAAAATGTTTGAACGGGTATAGAAAAGGAGAGGACATTGCAGGCATGTGTATTTTTTCGTTAGGTTGAAGCTCGTGAAGCGAGCGACGATGAACTTTTGCTAAATCATCCTGGAACTTTGATCCAAGAATTGGACTCCTTGAAGACTGATGAGGAGTGTGAAGAATACTGCAGGTAACACATTCCTTATTGGTGGCGGTCTAATCAAAAAACCTTCAAGGGATAAAGAGATCCTCTGGCTGTGTTCCAAGAGTGCGCATGCTGCTCGGATTGCTGCTGGAGGCACCATAGAGCTAGTAAAAGCAAATGTCGAGGGCAGGTTAAATCACGAGAAACGTCGTTGTACTGATGCGATGACTTTTTTCCAGGGTTGGGAATTCATTCGCAATTGTTCGCCCTCCAGGACATCACGCATTTGGAAAGACTCCCATGGGATATTGTGTATATAACAACGTGGCAACTGCCGCCAAGTATGCGACAGACCGTCTCGGCCTGAAAAAGGTTCGTCCACTGCATTTCACCTATACACTGACGGAATTCTTTCATGCATTGATGTTTGAGCAAAGTACACCGAAACGAGACCAAAACTCAACTTGAGGAGGATACATACAATACCGCTCATGATTTCTGTAGAAAAGGCGCGATGGTCACCTGCGTTAGGTGAGAGCACTATACTTTGGAATATTCGAGAATTTTTTCGAATAATCGAATAATCGAATATATTCGAAAATCAAAAATATCGAATAATCGAATTTCGAATATTTTCAAAAACAAAAAAAGTCGAATATTCGAATGTCGAATATTTTCGAAAAACAAAAATGTCGAATAATCGAATATCGAATATTTTCGAAATTAGAAAATCGTCGAATAATCGAATGTCGAATATATTCGAAATGAAAAAAATCCGAATACTCGAATATATTTGAAAAAACAATTCGAATAAACGAACATTTTGCATCGATTATGTTGAGTATTCAAACAAATTTTGATCGAATTAGCGCAATGAAGGACTCCATGCAGTGTGCAACTTGGACAACAAACGATGATTGCTGATATAGCAGTCAAAATTGTGACGTTGTCATGTAGATATTCAATTACACGAAATTGTCGAATAATCGAATAACTTCTAAGAATAACTACTTGAATGTTCGAATATTTTCGAAAATCAAAATTTTCGAATAACCAAATAATCGAATAAATTCGAAATTGACAAATTTCGAATAAGCAAATATCGAATATATTCGAGATTTTGAAATCTTCGAATAATCGAATTTCGAATAAAATTTATTCGAATACTTTATTCGAATACTCGAATATTTATTCGATTCGGTCCAAAGTATAGAGAGCACCGTAGTGTGGCCATATTTCGCTACGGAGTGAATAGAATCTGAATCAAATGGTAACTAGCTTGACAAGGCCATCTTTGGATATATGGAGATGCATGATTGGTCACGGTGAATGCACGGTGGCATGCAGATTTCGAGCCTTTCAGGTTCTTGCTTGCAGTGGGTTACTCGGGGTGCTTGGGTACTGCATCTGGCTGGATGTCGTGGGCGGGGGCGAGTCGGATCGTGGGATCTTGCCTAGTGTGCACATATCGTATCCACCCATCATGAACCATCATGAATTAGAGGATGCGCCTCGTCGAGTTGAATCGGTCTCCCCGATTTCGTCCACTTCGAAGCGAGATATGGCAGGGGGCTCGGCGTAGCTGCACGGGGTCAAGCTGGATATCGTTTTTGAGACAAAAAGCAAAGGGGCAAGCAAAGGGGCAGTGGCGTAACGAGGGAAGGGGGAGGAGGGGACGCACCCCCCCCCCTCCCGAGAATGGGTCGCGAATTTCTGAAAGTTACTTATATGAGTTTAAAAAATGTGCAAGAGGCTTATTTATACTTGTAAGTAATTGAAATAATTTTTAAAATTTTTTATAAATTCAACTTGGCCTTATAAAATTTTTTTTTCGGGGGCGTGGCTGACGGCACGCGCCCTTTTTTTCAAAATTTTGGGGCTATGGGCCCGCGAAAATTTTGAGAAGGGTACCAAAATTTTTTTCTGGGTAAAACGCCACGCACCTTCATCATAAAACTTTTTTGTCGCTCAATTTTCAAGGGTCAATTGGGGGGGGGGGGGGGTTTAAGGGTCAATTTTCAAGATCAAAGGGGACTTGTTTTTGAAATTTCCCTGGTGCCAGCTCGTGCCGAGCCACGGGCTACGTTACTGCGATATCACCTGATTAAGGTGTCGTCGAGCGTTTTTTTTTTTCAGAAATCAGCCTTATTATATATAGGACTTTAATTGAAAGCAGTCTTAAATTGAAGCAGAAAAATTATATCTGCTTTTGTTTTCGTGTCAGTGTCCCGTACTCAATTGTGCGTCGAATGCTGCAAGTGTTATGCGTGCAGCGATGTGCACAACGATTCATCAACTTTTTCGGACATTTGAATAGGGAGAGAAAAGAGAGCTCTATTGCACATATATTACATATTAAGCTCTAACGAATTTTCCTCGTAACCATCTGCTTACGCTAGTTTGACAATATGGAAAAAACGCTTCAGATATTGCACAAAAGGTGGGAAAGAGTGAGACTTGGGATTTAGGTAGCGGTTGTGGATTTTGACTATCATGCGGGCAATGGCACCCATTATTCTTTGAGGGGTGATCCTCGTTTTCACTTCACTTCATTCCATGCTTTCCATCATGGTGCCTTCTGGCCTTATAGTTCGGAGTTCGATTACAACACCAAATATGGTGAGTTTAACCAGCTCGTACAGGAACTAAATAGATATTCTTTTAGAAAATACTTTGATGTTTCCACTGAATGGAGCAATGAACACCGAAACAGATTACGTCAGTGCATTTCATCAATTGTTGCTTCCCATGCTCAGGTCTTTCAAGCCAGAGGTGAACGCTCTGATTATTTATGGAATATCCTTTGAAGAATTATTCCAGCTTATCCTTGTCTCAGCTGGTTTTGACTCAGGCTACTATGATTTACAAAAAGAGCAAGGACAGGGTGTCAAAGCTCACGGGTTAGAAGTGTTACCTAAAAGTTACTTTATGTAAGGTCTTGTCTCCAGGTATGGTCATATGGTTCGATTGCTCAACGAAATATGTCCAAATCGTGTGATTGCTGTTCTAGAGGGTGGCTATTATCCTACCAATTATACTGAAGGTGCATCCATGCTGGTGCGAGGTCTTAAGGTGAGTATGCCTTCGGCTCTTATGCTAAACTTCGTTGAGTCTGAGTGAATGTTCATGCGACCTCGTAAAAATAATTTTGCTAAGATATACCCAAAATCTCTTGTTACCAAATACTAACGCAGAAAATTATCTGACTTGAATTTCGTAGCGGGCCAAATGTAGCTTATACAATTTGCTATTTTTCCTGAATTGTATGTCAGTTGGTCTAGCACAAAAAATGCTGATTGTGAGTTTCAAACGTATAGAGATGCTTAAAATCGTAATACGAATTTTTTGACATATAAAAAATACATTTCACTTTGCACAATTAGAATAATTTCGAGTGAAAAATTCGGAAGTCACAACTGTGCACTTCGAGATACATCCGAACAGCACGAATTCTTCTCACTAAAAAAGAGTAGCTCAACAATAAAAAAGAACGAATTTTGCTAAGTTGAAATTTTTGACAGACAGCTCTTCACACAGACTCACACACGCTAACTAGTTAGCGCGTTGTTAGGGTAAGATATGTGGAACACTAAAAACTTACACTAAGAACATCTCAGGGACTTCCCTTGCCTCACCTAGAAATAGGAAAGCTTTCACCGGCTTTCAAAGAAACGATGTGGGACAACATACTCTATCATTCATTGCGGTATCCTTCACTGAAGCAGTGGCTGCAGAAACTTCAAGATAATCAGGTAAAAAATGAACAATTCGCAACATTCAACAAGTTGTAACATCTACCTTGAAGTTCAACATTTGTTTCTTGCCCGTTTTCAATTTTTACACCATACATTTTTTTTTCAGAAGAAACGCGGCCTTCCAGAATACCACTCCAATCCAACGCTGAATCTTGGCAGAGGCAAGGACTCATTTCTTAGTTTGTACTTAGCAAAATGTTTTATATTAGGTTGTCAAGAAAATAATGTCCGTTTTTATTTGCTTGCTTTAACAAAGCAACCAGACTGAACCCAACAAAGGGTAAGGGGTACTGTTCGATAGAGCAAAGCAAGCTCTACAAGATGGCACTCATGTCTTTGCGCCAAGCTCGATCCACTGAGAGTTCGAACTCAAAATCTAAAGATTTCCAAATGCCCAAAAAATCGAAAAAAAATCAGATCTTCGTCCAGATAATTTCTACGGACCTCCCACTCGCTCATATCAATACTATCGATATCAGATATCCATATGTGCGATTGGCGTATTTTTTCCTTGACTAGAAACTGAGAAAACGAAAATTTCCCTGATTTTCTCAAAGCAATGCTGAGCCGTTTCTGCAAGTGTGGTTCTATTCTATAAGCTTAGGTAAGTATAACTGTAGATTTTCAGCCCATTCCAAGCGGTAGTTTTCGAAAAATAACGAATTCGGATTTTTCGTTTCAGTTTCAGTGCTAAAATCGACATTTCTCGAAAAGTACCGCTCGAAATAGGCTGAAAACCTACGGTTATGCTTACCTAGGCTTGTAGTATAAAACTACATATGCAGAAACGGCTCAGCACTGCTTTGAGAAAATCAGGGAAATTTTCGTTTTCTCAGTTTCTAGTCAAGGAAAAAATACGCCAATCGCACATATGGATATCTGATATCGATAGTATTGATATGAGCGAGTGGGAGGTCCGTAGAAATTATCTGGACGAAGATCTGATTTTTTTCGATTTTTTGGGCATTTGGAAATCTTTAGATTTTGAGTTCGAACTCTCAGTGGATCGAGCTTGGCGCAAAGACATGAGTGCCATCTTGTAGAGCTTGCTTTGCTCTATCGAACAGTACCCCTTACCCTTTGTTGGGTTCAGTCTGGTTGCTTTGTTAAAGCAAGCAAATAAAAACGGACATTATTTTCTTGACAACCTAATACATAACCATTCAAAGGAGTGCGGGACGTATGGGACGAAACCAAAAGGACTCGAGCTGTGCGAACACGGGAATGGTTTCCCGACTTGTCTCCCGAGCAAAAGCTGGATAGCGATAGAGCCATCGCCGCCTATGTAAAGGTAGGGACAGTTGACCCCTCTACTTCATAATTTGCTCCTTCTAGGCTTATGACTACTCCAAGCCTACAGAAAACCCTTCGGAAGAATCGCTGCTTGAACAGATGACGTGGACGGAACGTTCGGAAGTTGAAGCGTTTGTACATAAAGCCCCTATTTGCTTAGCTTTTATCAACGAGTTCACCGAATTCTTGCAAGGTACTTCGCCTACATATCTTCAATGACCTCTAACATATTTCGCTCCTTATTGCAGGCAAGAGCCAGTCGATGATGATCTGTGACCGGAAATTACTAGACGTCAAAGAGCTAAAACCTTCTTGTACTCAGCTCTTTGGAAGCTCCCTCAATTAAGATGTGTTGTCTTGACTAGTACATTCACAATACCAAAATATCTTTTTCAAACACAAAATCATTAATCAATGAAAGGCTTAAGCATTAGCTCTACTATTGTGTTATTCTATACAGAGCTAGCGAGTAAGTGTAAACGAAGGAAAATTTGTATCAAATGACAGCTATATCAGTCTTCACCAAATCAGAAGGTATTTTCTGCGTAAGTATCGCTGTTACGCTGAAGATTGGATATTTATTGAGGAAACCTATGGTTGTAAGTAAACTCACCCCAGAATACGGAGTATCACCAGCAGCCGTCATCAGTAAAGCATCTGAAATATCACTTTTCTAGTGGGTAACGAGTACATTTACAAGAACTAAATCAAAGCCTATGATCGAGTCGTGTCTCCAAAAATTAAAGGCAGCGGCTCGGCAGAATGACAACTTTGGATAATTCATCGTTCTCGATTCCCCTAGATGAGCTAAGTCCAAGACTGTGCTTTGCAGCTTCAAAAAATGTCAATAATCCGTTTTTCCAAACGTGAAAAGTGCTATTTAGGCGGATGCGTAACCTCTCTAGAGCGGAATTGGCCCGTTAGTAGAGATACCGTACCCATCTCGGCGGGAGGCGTGCAAGTGGTACCCAGACAACCGGCTGCTGCCGCAGCCAGCCGCCAGAGCTGGAGTCAGCGCCGCCGCATATGGTAAAATAATTACGCTAGCCCTCTAAAAGCTCCTTCCGAGAGGTTTCCTGCACCTCGTCGCGCTGAGGTGCGATGTCAGCCTCAGGGCAGCGTTATTATCAATATTTAAATCATTTTGAACAGCAAAATTCTGTAATTCACTGATAAAAAGCAAATAAATAAATATTCACAGACTAGAGTTTTACTAAAGAAAAGCGGTTACGAAATTCAATTCCTCAATATAACCAGAAGATGAAATAATTCAAATAGCAAAATAGTGTTTAGTTATCAAAATGTTTTCTGGGCTTCAAAGTCGGAGGAGAACGTACAAGACTACAAGACATGACGAAAAAAAGTCCGTTAGAATTAGCACTTCAAGACTTAGTGATGTTAAGCTCATTTTTTCCGCATTCGGTCGATCTTTAACAATATACTTTTACAATGTTTTTAGTGTGTTGATCAGAAACGATTGGACATCGATGAAAGTTGGAAAAGTTGTTAGAAAGCTTAAGCTGTCTGCTACAAAACATTGCAAAAAATGTACTGTAGAAATTCGACGGAATGTGGAAAAATGATTCTGAAAATGAAATTTTCAAAACTGCACGGAAAATTCCCTTACAACCTAGTGTGTTCCCGATGATCTATGCTGTTCTTTTATATCAGCAATTGTGACATTTTGCACCTTTTATCAGTTACCTACTCAATTTTTGACCTACTCCGGCTTATTTAATGACCTACATTAGCTTATTCAGCTCGCTTAACATCACTAAGTCTTAAAGGCAGCGTCCAGGCAGATCCGGATCCGGACGTATGGGGTTTTTACGTGGAAAGTACTTTTGGGGCCCTAACTAAGGCACTGCCCAAGCGGCAGCTCAGGTAGTGCTGTAATGGCTGACATATTCCCCTCGAAACTGGACCCCGCGACCGTGTTTCGCATGGATTCATGGCGCAAAGCGTGGATCCTGGCGCGAAAGTGCCATGAATCCATGCGACTACGTTCGCGGGGGCCAGTTTCGAGGAGATTATCTCAGCCATTAGAGCACTACCTGAGCTGCCGCTTGGGCAGTGCCTTAGTTAGGGCCCCAACAGTACTACCACGTAAAAGCCCCATAGGTCCAGATCTGCTTGGACGCGGCCTTTGAAATGCTAATTCTAACAGACTTTTTTCGTCATGTCTTGTACGTTCTCCTCCGATTTTGATTACCAGAAAAATATTTTCACAACTGAACATTATTTTGCATATTAAGTCATTTCAACTACTGGTTATTTGAAGGAATTGAATTTCATAACCGTTTTCCTTTACTAAAATTTATTTGCTTTTTATTAGTGATTTTTTTGCTGTTCAAAATGAAAATATTGAGAATAGCGCTGCCCCTGAAGCTGATATCGCACCTCAGCGCGACGAGGTGCGAGGAGACCTCTCGGCACGAGCTTTCAGACGGCTAGCGTAATTTACCACTAGCTGGCATACCCGGCTCCGCCAGACCCCGTTAAACATTGTAGTAAAGGTCCCATTCCTATTCCTGTACAGCCTTTCACTGTGCACACTTCTACATGCGTTTCCTATTCCCGCTGCGTTAGTAATCAGCATGCTCACCTACCTCCTTCAACAACCCCCAGCCTCGTAGCTCAAACTTTGCAAAAAATCAATAAAATCGATAAAATTAAGGGTAATTCTAGAAAATGATGGCGCTATTCGGCTATCCGGGCCCCAAAATGTTTTTGTGACAGATCTTGCCAAACTCGGTATATGGGGTTATTTGAGCCGCTGATGACAAATATCGTAGTCATTTCGCGTGGCAGCGGGGTAAAACTCATGAACCTGCCTGAAACCTTGACAGGGAATTACCTAAAGTGCTCTTTCAAAAACTGCTTAATCCCCACGATAAAGGCAATTCGTGTGGATTAGAAGTTTCCCTCGACCGTAATGCTTTCCTTAAAGGACCACTGCCGCGCGCGATACACCCTTCGGCGGCTTTTGCCTAAGCAAAAACAGGGGGAGGGAGATTTGCCGCGCGTTACAGGTTGGGTGGGACAGGTTATCAGAATGGCGCTGGAGACCGCCATGCAAAACGACCGTTTCCCCATTTCGTGAATATCTGGAATTCAAATTGGCTCAAAAGCGAAAAAATGTCCATTCAAACCCTTCAACCCACCATAACTTCAATAATGCGTTATGACAGCGAGCAAGCATCATATTCATAAGCAGTATACTTGTGGACCGTTACAGGTAAAAACTTGAGCAAATCTGGAACTTCGATCCATCTACACCCACTTTAACCCAAGAAAATGCACTATCCTGCGAAATCAGCATGATATTCATGTTCAGCGCGCTAAATGACCACCATAGACGAAGTTTAGAGCAAATCTATGTTTTCGACCACATACCACCATAACTCTATGAAAAGGTCCCAATATGCAGAGAGAGTATGATATTCGTTAGCATGTCGAGTAAGTTCTCTAGACCAAACTCCAGCCGAATTCATGATTTTGACTTCCTACCGTACACCTATCGTAACCACACGGGGAGACGTTCTGCGGAGAAAGTGTGATATCTGTAATCAGCATGTAAGATAACCCTTATACATGAAGTTTGAGCAAGCTCTACGACAAAAAAATTTCGGTGCCCGGATAGCCGAATAGCGCCAAACTAATATTGTACTCGTAATCACATGCTCGATTACCCCCGCCCCCCCCCCCCCCTTAATGTGCAAACTCCCAGCCCCGCAATTCAAACTTTACAGAAAAATCGAAAAAATGGATAAAATCGATATCGATCGATGACGAAAAGTAGCCTATGACACCCGCCGAGGCCCGAATTGTATGTGTGCCAAGTTTGGTCCGGATCGGTTCAGAAATGGAATTTTCTATTCGGAACATACGTACACACAGACATACATACATACATACATACATACATACATACATACAGACAAACAGACATTCAGCTTTATATAAGATATGCGGCGGCGCTGACGCCAGAGCTGACGTCAGCTTTGGCCAGCTTTCACTTGCTACGCACCTTAATCCTACAGTACGAATGAGTCATCGGTGATTACCAGGGTCAAGCAAGGGGTGTGGCACACGATCGCTGGTTACGACCCCTCCCCCCCTGATTGCTGTCTTAATAAGACCTCCCCCCCCCCTGAACTATACACTTAAGATAGCATTACTTGAAGGCCCTGTCAAACATAATGGGCAACATATCCATAATTAGCATGTCGAATAACCCCTGTAGATAAAGTGTGAGCGGATTCTGAAGATTCAACATACTAGACTACCTAAGTGAAATGGTCATTTTGTCAAATGGTCATGGTCATTTTTCAACATGTTTAACATTGTTTCAAAGGTAAATTAGCTATCCGTTTTTGCACTCGAGACAAAGCACTACTCCTTCTTTGTCCACCTCAGGAATCCCGCTTCAGAAGACCTCCAAACTGTGGAATTAGAAGCCAACCAAAATCTCGTTTTTCCCATTTTTCGCTTTTAATGGCTGTGCTTTCACCAACTATTACTCAGAGCAAAGAAAATGAATTAGGCTAAAATTATTCCTTTGAAAACTAGGAGATCTAGGCTATCGATTTATATAAATAATGTCCGCTAAAATTGTTTTTTTGATATAGTTAATGGCCTGGGGCACCCCCCCCCCCCCTCAAAACCTGCGGCTGCCGCAGGTTTTGAGGGGGGGGGGGTGCCCCAGGCATAGCCTAAACCTTGTAGATTCCATAGGACTATTTTGAGCCTGATTCGTCTTCTTAGCTCCAAATAATATTTGGTGAAAGCACAGCGATCAAAAGCGAAAAATGGGAAAAACGAGATTTTGGTTGGCTTCTAATTCCACAGTTTGGAGGTCTTCTGAAGCAGGATTCCTGAAATGGACAAAGAAGGAGTAGTGCTTTGTCTTGAGTGCAAAAACGGATAACTAATTCACCTTTGAAACAAAGTTAACCATGTTGGAATTTGACCATTCCACTTAGGTAGCCTAGTATTTTGAACCTTCAGAAATCGCTCACACTTTGTCTACAGGGGTTATTTAACATGCTAATTATGGATAGGATACGAATATCATGTTATCACTATTATCAGATTACCCAACTCTACCCCCTCCCCTTTTGACTCCTCAATACGACCCCCCAGGTGTGGCGTGCCGCACCCCACGCTTGACCCTGGTGATTACCTCCATACTGCATCTGAGTTGAAGACAGCAGAATGACACCTCAAGCTCAGGGCTATAGCAGGGGAGTTATCAAAGATCAAACAGTGCACATTTTTTGGGACGCCCTGTATATACACATATACTTACACATGTATACATGCATAATTGCCGTTGAGATGCGGCGGCAGTTATTGGCTCCAGCAGCCACTTTCGCGACCCGCTTAAACAGCACTTTTCACCGGGAAGCGAGTTATTGATAAATTCAAATGCTGCAAAGCACAGTTTCAGACTCGGTTCATCCAAGGGAGTCAAGAACAATCAATATCAAAAATTGTCATTTTGCCGAGCCGCTCCTTTAAGACGCTTTATGGAAGCATTGTAGGGCACAGTTCAGGGTTGATTACAGAGTTGATCGTGTGCTAGACAACTCCGGCGTACCAGAACGAGGAATGCCCCTTCCCTCCCAGAAGCCGGAATTTCGTAACTCAGCTGGGTTATAAGAATGTGCAAATGCGTTCTTGTCAGCTGGGTTATAAGAATGTGCAAATGCGTTCTTATCAGCTGTGTTATAAGAATGTGCAAATGCGTTCTTACTTGCAAACAATTAAGATATTTCGAAATTTTCAAAAATTCTAGAATAAAAATTCGGAGTGTAGGCCTGTCGCTACGCAGCTTTATTTAAAAAATTTTCTGTCCCCCTCCCCATCCCGAACGGAAATCATGAGATTGCCACTGCTATGAACGTGACATGATAGCATACACAAGTGAACAAGCTTGCATGCACAACTTGGCCGATTTTACCCCTTTTTCGGCCGGCTCAAGCCTCGCCGCAGTCGAGTACTTAGCTCAAGCGTTTGAGCGTTGCGCAGTCAAACAAGTGTACGTCGCATATTTACAAGGGAAGGATAACTGGCAACTGTGACCTTAAATATGTTACATATCAGAATGCACGCCTTAAAACGCTGATCTCGAAATTATGTCCATCATCTGTGGAAAGCTTTTCTGAGGAGAAATAGCGCTTGTCGGAACCCAAAATATAAGCACTGACAGGGATCAAATCGGCACCCATTGTGCAATAATCGGCAGCGCTAACCGCTAGACCAATGCCAACATCTTTTGCACCTATCGACATTACTTGCGATATCTGGTTCATCACGAAGGCGGTCATCCATCTACAGTCTTCAACCAGGAGTAGGCCTAACATTCCAAGTGGAGCAGCGCGTCCGCACCGCCACTGGCTCAGCGACATAGATAAGAATGAAAAGACGCAGACTGCAAAGCGGCGCAAATCGTTGCGAAGCGGACTCCCGCCAGTCTGATCTCCGCATGAACTGAGTTCTGACTATAAGCTGAGCGCATGCGAGGATGGCGCGCAAGCGGCGCGGGTAAACGTAGTGCATGGAGCGCGTGAGACAAACAGCTAAGCGATTTCATTGGACTCCATTAACCCTGTTTCCCTGTACTATAAACCATAATTGCTATAAATTTGAGTTCTTTTCTGCTCTCATGCTTGATGCTAAGTTTATCGTGCACACTATCCATCTTACATTCTTTTCATGATTTTTTGTGCGCAGAACTCTATTCATGGTTCAACATTGTGTAGAAACGCTTTGATACGTGTCTTCTTCTTCTTGTCTTCTTTCTCTTTCTTCAAAATCTTTGCATTATTCATATTTATAGTGATTTATTCCCTGCACGCCTCGCTTTCTGTGCATGGGCGCTCCATAGATGACAATTGCCCCGCGCGCCAGCCTCGCATGCGCTCAGCTTATTTGGGTGATCGCCTTCTTCCTTTCTTCAAGCAAACTCGTCACTGCGAGAAATACGATTTTCTGGTAAATCGTTTCGCAGATAACGAATACAATTTTAAGATCAGCGTTTCAAGGAGAATCTCATGACACTAGCCGCTCTCTGTCGCTACTCGGCAGCTTCGCTGCCTCGTAAATCGTTATTTTACTCTAAATTGCGGATATGTGAAAATTTGCCATTTTGTACATTACTTCGATTCAAGACCTGCGAGGAAAGGAAAGCTGAGATCATGATTTCGGCTTTGTAACATTTTGATCCAATATTCTAACATAAGCAACGGATATCACACAAACTGCAAAAAATCAATGAATCGATAGGGGCAATGAGTGTGTTCTGAACAAAATGGCCTTATTAGTATGTACGCACCCCCCCCCTTACATTGTAACTGTCACATTTGGTTCGATTCCATAACTCCTATCCTTTTTGAGCAAACATACAAAATTTTCTAAGCAAAAATTACATGAAATCAATAAATCGATAGAGGCAATCGGTAGGTCTCAAACAAATGACTTATTAACACAAGCCGCATCCTATACACCATGTCTGCCAAGTTTAGTTTAAATTCCATGACGCTTTCCATCCTTTTTGAGCGAAGATACAAAAAGTGGCTAAGCCAAATATCAAATAAGTGTATAACACATATCGAAAGCCCACGGTCACCAAGTATCCGTATCCTTCCGCGTTAGGCGGTGGAATTAGACGCACGGGTTCGGAATCATACAAAGTTTTAGCTCAATCCAACGGCGTCGTTAAAAGACACATATTCACATACACTTCCACGCACATTTTTTGTTTTATATCTTTTACTTTCAATCGCAATAAGTCATAGACTTCTCATTTCTGGATAGGCTGCAATGTACCATTCGATAGAGCAAAACAAGCTCTAGGAAATGGCCATCTTGCTTTCGTACCTGCTCTGAACCACTCAAAGTTACAACCCAAGAGGTAAAAAGATTTGATCGCCTGAAAAATCGAAAAAAATCACAACTCCTCCCAAAAAGTCCTGCGAAAATTCTGTCACGTGTACACTTTACCATCAGACATTTATAGAACTACTGCTGTAATTTTCCTTTTAGAAATCAAGAAAACAATGTGTGGAGAGCCAAAAATGTGCGCTTATACTCCTACAGAACCGAAGAATGATATTTGACTCCATATGGGAAACCATAGTGGTTCTTCAGCTTGAATGTGAATACAGCTATCAGATACTAGTCACGTACCTGCATCAAAAGAGTTCCCTTTTGAGGGCTTCGCACTCAACAACTCAAAGAGTCGCCGGGGGTGAGAGACATCAGATAATAGATGACTAATTTGTACTTGTGTTGTCTTTAGACGAAATCAAGATTGTGAAAGATTTCGTCGGCTAACGCTTCGATGCCTCTCAGACTGCGGAGGCTCCAACGAAAATGACTGCTTGAAACGTTAACCTAACTGTAGGTACTAAAAGTCTCCAACAGTCTTTCCGGTTAAGGAAGACAACATAATCACGTTAGGAAGCTATGCCAAGATTCATAAACAATCAGCTTGGAGTCTTATCAGGGGTGAAGAATTGCTCGCACTCCACCAGCAGAATTTTAAATGAACACGAGCTTTTGCAAAACCGTTTTAATCTTGTTTTTCGCTAAAAAAGCAGCAGTCTATCGACAAAAAATCAGAGTGAAAAAGGGATCAAGGAGCGCCATTGTGCTCCTCAGTTCATCAAAGCTCCGTGAACGGAACGCAAAAAACAACAACGCGCCTTTTTCTGTGATCGCCTGTCTCTGGCGATGTCCGGGGCTTACCGTAAATAGTTGAAGTTTCGGCTAGTAGTTATAGCTGTAATTTTTTGTCGTATTTTTTTAAAAAGACATCAGCTTGACGGTTCTATATGTATACATCGGAGGGTATTTATTGAAAATGCATCTAATGTCCGAAAGCTGGACAATTGCATGCCTCAGAGTCTTCAGAGTTATGCAGACGGAAAAGCCATTTCGTCGCTCCAGGTAGCCTAAGGATAATAAGGATATAGAATATCCTCATTTTGAGCGGCATTTGGAGCAAAGTTACGCCGCATTCGCCTGTGGTATATCCTGAGGGTCCTTTGCGTTGCGTTGCTCCTAATTGCAGCAGCAGAGGAGCTAACGCTACCGAGCGAATGGGCCATTCTTCTAACTCTCCATGGACAAAGAGATCAAATGTAGATGATAGACGCATTTTAAAGTGAATCAAAGAATATGAAGAAAAGACCAAGAGAAAGCAAAAGAAGAAGGAACTGATTTCTTTTGGAAAGTCAATGACGGAAAATTTGTTCCTTTTCTTTACTGATTTTCGTGTTCCACTTCTCTTGAACAGTTAACTTAAGTTCAGTAGTGGATTATCCCAAATCCAGCCTTTGATTCATCCCTACAAATCATCTATTTCAATTTTCTTTACTGCAGTTTTCTTCCGTCTCTTTATTGGATTTATACAGTTTGAACAAATCAGGTCGCAATAATAGGGAATGGTTCGATCCGCTGTCAGGAGCAGCTCTACTCCTGCGGCTGCAAGTGTCGACGCAACGCAAATGCCCCTCAGGATATATCACAGGGGGATGCGGCGTAGTTTTCCTCCATAGCGCCTGCCCCCCCCCCCCCCTCATTTCAAACGTTTCCCATCGAGTGTAATGTTTCTCAATTCTTGGTGGAAGATATCGAGTGCTGGCTATGTAAATGAAGAGCCTCACGCCAAATAATCGCGTGTACTTTGAATTCTCTTCTGGAAAAAGCGGAAAGTGCTCTAATTAGTTGTAAGACCAATTCATAGAACGATCTCGAAGATTGAAAATTATGGTCCCCACCTGAGGTAGTATTGTTACCATTTGCGTTGACGTGATCCTGGCTCTCTGTCAAAAATACATTTATGGTTATATGAATTCATTGTTTGTATGGAAAGTAATGGCCAGACGCCTTTGTGGCGACTGATCTCTGCAAAGGTTGAGCTAGTTAACACACCTACCACATGTTAAGGCGGTGTGCAGATCTTCACGTTCTGGACTCAAAGTTTCTTCAAGCCCTAGTTCGGATAGTGCGACGTATTCTCCTATACTTATGATAATCAGCAATAGATTTTGTTACGTATTCTCAGTTGCCTGAACGTTCTTCACTACAGAACGAAGTATTTACCTCTATGCTTCTTCTTCAGGGTCTTTTTTGAAGACGGGTTCAATTCAGCTTCTTCAAATGATGAGTAGTCGCTCAGTGTTTCTGCGCTGCTCCGACCTGAGATTTGCATTGTTAGCAGAGAATCCAGCCGAATTTATAGTACCAGTGTTGTACTCCTTTGGCTTTGAGACATCACGCAAAAGCTTTCTAGTTATTCCTGTAAAGTTGAAAACTGCAATATTGTGGTAATCTGTTGGCCATTCCAAACCAGTACTCTCTGTGTTCATTGTCAACTGCACTTTGATACGTAATTTATGCATTTGACAAAATTCGCTTCTCTCAAAGATAAATGTTCCTACGCATATTTCCGTGCAAATGAAGTAGTCTAAAACCATTATGATGACAACGTTATGCAGAACAGCTTCTGCCATATTCTTTATGTTTTACACATGTTGCGGACTTATGGGACACCATAGGCTATGCTGAGATCCTCGTTGGATCCATGGCGAAGATATTGATATGCGTCAACGTGTTCATCCGCAATGTGCATTGAGTGCCATAAATGCGTGAGTCGTTTACAATGCAGAAGTGGTGGCAAAGAAAAGATTCTCTTAGCAGGTGTTAGGATGAAGGCGTCGACTTCCCATCGACTTACTGTAATTTTTATTGCAAAGGTCGTGTACAGAAGCGGGATGGGAAAGGGAAGAGAAGGAACCGGTTTTTGTCGGAGGGCGGAGATACACAGCCAGAGGCGTCTCCTTAGGGCGACCTCCATCCTAAGCTGCTTTTAGGGATCAGCTGCGTCCAGATCCTCTCTTGAACTAGCTTGACAGAGTTTGAGGACTACTAGACATCAGCAATTATGTTGTTCGCAACTATTCTATTAACACAGGTTTCTTTTAAGCGCTAAAAACTAACTTTTGACATTTGGATTAAAATGTTTTTTTATGCTTTTTGCTCGATATTACTTGAATCTAACTTTGAGAGGTATCGTGCGGCCTGCTTGTGTATATTTTTACGAGCACCATCTTTGAAACTCCTATAACATGGATTTATAGCAGCACTGTCTACTCAGTTACTTTAAGTTTTCAGCTCCTTTATAATGATAGACCTGCAATAAGGTTGGGTCGAGGAAGGGAGTAAGTTTCCGTTTTTCTAAAAAAAGATTTTGCCATGAAAGCTCTAAGAAGTGCCTGAAAGTGATGCTCTTTTCAAGAAGTATCGGGCGTCGACAAAGCCATAATATTAGCGCTACGAAATTCCTACAAATCTGATGCTACAAATGCCAGAATATTGCCTTCGAAAGTACTTCATCAGAGTCAAACACGAGTTAAAGAACGGGTGGGGGAACGAAAGCCGACAGTTTGGGCCGCCTCCGCGGACTGCTGGTCCTGGGATGACATGCACAATGCGAAAGGACTAGTTGGCTGCGAAAGGCGGCTCAAACTAGCGGTTTTCGTTCCCCTACCCGTTAAAGAACACTTTCGTGAAAGCAGTAGCCGCTTCGAATAGGCTACAGCAAACAAAGCGTTCTCGTGCACTTCCATGTTTGGTAACGGACGAAGTAACAAGCGGTATGTCTTACCAGGATCCACATTGACCTCATCATTGTCCTGTAAAGTTGGAGCGTAACTTCGTATGATGTCTGAAGTCATTTTGCCACTGAGCACTTCCGAGGTGCTGACGCAACTCGTCCGAATAGTTGACAATGTACTCGTTGACGTCCATGGTTGCAGCCTATAGTCGCTTTACATCATTGAAGTGAAGGTTTTGGAACTAAAAAGGTCATCACCTTATGCCTTGAGAAGTTTTCGAAGCTGAGCACTGCTGCGATGCATGTCTCACAGCTTTACTAGTTGTAGTTTCTGCTGATGTTTGGGCGCTGCTTGGGCATTTGTTTTTAAGATATTCGTTGAGAGTGACAGGAGGGCACTGAAGAATAGTGTCTCCTTTTTAACTGATGAATGTTTGACAATGACAACGCTTAAGTACCTGGTTTAAGAAGAATCTTTCAATTCCGCTTGTCTGCAGATTTAATTCTAGTTTGAGCTTGTGCCAAGCCTGAGATTTATACAAAAACTTATCCATGACATCTAATGAATGGCGAAGAGACGACATTGCTGTCGCTATCTGGAAGGCGTAATTTCGTGTGTGCAAAGGCGTATTTGAGCGAATTAGTGTTTTACCTCTGCCACCAAGACACTCAGTTCGGTAGTTGTTACTCCCGAAAGCGTTTGCTCCTGTCTGCTGTAGTGTAACAAATCGAGCCTATTTAACTGGAAGATAGTGGTTCAATAGACAAAATCGAATGATATGCACAAAACAAAACTTCCGATTGCTTATTGAATCATGAATAGAAATGTGTGTGAAAGATTTCTTTTGTTTTGGGATTTTTTCTCTCCATTTGAAGGAGAAATTTTGCTTGCCTCGATTCGAATTCAGCAATGTTTTTGATAAGCTTTTCATGAGGTATTATCCGTTGAGCATTGTGCGTTTACAAAGGCCTATGCTTTTTTCATTCGTGGCTATAATCCAAAAGGAATATTAAGAGCTCAGTTTGACTGCGTCGAGATAGATAACAGAGGAGATGTCAAACAGTAAAATGAGAAATCGAAGATATGGCTTACTAGCTGGCAAACCCGGCTTCGCCCAACCCTGTCAATAATATATTCGTAATCAGCATGCTCAGTGCCAGCGCCATGCCACGTATCTCAAACTTTGCAAGAAATCAATAAAATTTGATAAAAATCTTCGACCGATAACGAAAAGTAGCCTACAACACCCTCCCTCCCCGAAGTATATGCGTGCAAAGTTTGATCCGCATTGGTGCAGAAACAGAAACTTCTGTTTTGAACATATGTACATGCAGACAGAGGACAGACATACATACAGGGTTTATCAGTTAAAGTGTCGGTGCACTAGCATCTCCATTCCCGCGCCAGAGTCTGCGTCTCTTCCGCGGGACATGTTCTCTAGCACTTTCTCAGGGCGAGAGTGCGAAAGGGGAGCCTCAGTCGACTGGAAGTAATTACAGAGTATGTTCCGCGGAAGAGACGCAGAATTCAGCGCAGGAGCGGAGATGTTGGTGCATCCGACACTTCAATTGATAAGCTTTGTACCGACAGCAAACAGATGTTCAGCTTTATATGTAAGATTCTCTTAAAGCATGGAATATTGTTCGCCATCTGAGTAAATGATTTCAAATTAAAATCCAACATCTGCCGAACAGTACTTCAAAAGGAAAAAGGAAGTATGGGAGTTTTCCACAAACATTTGCCCCATTTGAATAACAGAAATACTGTAGAAAATCAAAGTTTCTACCAGCGATAAGGGAGGGGAGTTCGTCATCATGTCACGTGAATTGGACGTGGCCATAACTAGGCATCACCTGGATGACGACACACTGTACATCCATCGTCCGAAAATGAGTTTGCAAAACAATATCGCCGCTCAAACAGGGTGTGGATGGACGTTGCAAAATCTGCTGGCATACCAAAAGCGTTAGTATCAAGGTTAAATGCGATCTTCCAAAATGCCTTCTCTATCTTCTAGTCAAAACCCATAAGCTCACCGGTCTAAACCTCACTTAGCTAGACCCCGCAAACTTCAAACGCCCATCATAAGCAGTTTTGGAAGTCCTAATGATAGAATATCCTGGCTGTTGAATCTTATCCTGACGCAGCTGCTTCAGTATGTACCTGCCCATCTTTCCAATACCCAAATGTTCCTTGAACATCTCAGCAAAGCTCAGCTCGAGAGAGAGTGCGTAATAGAGTCGTTCGATGTTACCTCCTTGTATACAAATCTCTCAAACGAAGCAGCTATGCAGGCTGTGTTTGAGCTTCTTTTGAAACATCAAGGCTCTCTCAATAGGTATGGTTTCAATACCGCACAAATAATGACACTCCTGAACGAATGCCTAAACTGCAATATCTTTCGCTGGTCGGGACAGTATTATAGGCAAGTCAGAGGGCTAGCTATGGGGCAAAGGTTGGCTCCAACAGTAGCAGTCGCTTTCATGTCCAAAATCGAAGCGCCAGTACTTGCTCGTAAACCATTGTTATACTGTCGTTATATTGATGATTGCTGCGTTGTATGTCCCACACAGAGCGAAATGGACATATGCTTCAACCTTCTTAACAACCAGTTCCCTAACATTAAGTTCACTTGGAAAAACCCAGTGAAAACCGGCTTGCATTCTTGAATGTTCAAATACATTTGTCAGGTGGGTCGTACATAACACAGTGGTACCGCAAGCCAAGCAGCAAAAATATTCTAGTGCACTATCGCTCTGCTCATCCTTGGAGCACAAAAAAGTCGGTTATTGGCGGCATGTTCAAAACAGCCAGGGCAGTCTCGTCGGATGCGTACGGGCGCGCTGCATTAATAAATCTGGCTAAGCAGATCGCGCAGTCCAACGGTTAACCAGCGCAAGGGAGTCTGTCAAGGTACACTTGCCACCCAGAACGCAGGCAGCACACAGTTGACCAACCACCAAAAATTCCATTCTGTGTGCCTTACATTTCAGATGAGCTGAGCAGAGCTATTAAAAAAGTTTGCAGCATGCAGGTCTCGAGACTTTCGTCAGGGTCGTCCACATACCACCTCCTTGCCTCAAGCAACAATTGATACGCAACCGCGCCTACGATCGCATTTGCACAAGTCCAGGTTGCGTGATCTGCCCCGCCGGAAAACCGGATGATTGCATGGAGTCAGGCGTGGTATATATCATAACGTGTTCAGGTTGCGTGATCTGCCCCGCCGGAAAACCGGATGATTGCATGGAGTCAGTCGTGGTGTATCATAACGTGTTTGTCATGCGGGGACCAATACATAGGAGAAACAGGCAGGCCGCTGTGTGTAAGAATTAAGGAGCACCTGGATGGTCTTCAAAAATCTAAAACATCCATGCCACTGGGCGCCCATCGCAGGCAATGCCATGAAAATCAATTTTTTGAAACATCTGTCACGATCCTATCGCGAGAAACTGAAGTGGTAGCGCGAAAAACACTGGCGTTCTGGATAACATCCAAGAACCCAAAAATGAACCGCAAAGACGAATGCATCGCTGTGACCAACGAATTGGCTCTATATCAAAACCTCTGTGGGTTTTGATCTATGAGTCGAGGTCAGATGCGTATAAAAGAGGCAAGTTTACTAATGAGGGCATTATCTGTGGTACTCGCTCTATTTACCGTTAAGGCTGTTGAGGTGAGCGCTAGCTTGGTCTGTCCTCTGGTACTGTAGTAGTGTTTATCATAATGTTGAGTTTTATTTCTGTAGGCTGACAACGTGTTTGGCGGATAAGTCGCAATGTTTCTGACCATTTCAGGCTCTGAAGAAGGCGACGCCGCCAAAACGTTAAGTCAAAATAAAGGTTATTGCCAATCTTGGCTCAAGGCTCAGAAAACAAGCTCAAAGAAATACTGTAATTTACGAAACAGGATTCGATAGAATGTTCACATTACGGCTCAAATGGACTGGCTTGGATGCTGACGCTGACGCGATTTATAATTTTCACAAAAAATCTGAATTTCGTTCAAAGAGTCACACGTTCATTTTGAGCAAACACTGAAGTTAATGTCTCAAGATGATATGGTGGCACATGACAGCAGTACGATTGCCACAGTTGTGGCTGGTTACGCACAAAACCTGAGCTATCGGCGATTCTTAGGCTGGGGTCATACTGAGCCGCACAAAGCGGCAAAGTTCCAGCACAGCGCTCGAACTGTGCTTGAAGCTGGAACTGTGCCGCTTTGTGCGGCTCAGTATGAACCCAGCCTTAGCACGCAAAAACTGCGGACGTATCGACATCTCTCTGATCGAGCACTCTTCAGTTTCTCTCACCATCTGCTGTCTCTTCCATGTACGAACTATCTTGGCTGGACGTAACGGTGCCCAGTCTTTGCGTGTTGTGAATTGTGTATACTCTTCAAATTCACAAGCAAAACTCAAAGCCTTAACCTGGTCTGTCAGCTGCTTGACAGCATTGGCGTTGATCTTCAGCAGATTTGTTGTCCCATCATTGCGCGGCACCTTTTCTTTCAGCGGAAACAGACCCGATCGAAGCTCTTGCAGTGCCGCAAATCTTTGCAATATCTAGTAAAAGTAACAATCCGTCACTGAAAATTATGCATTTCGAAATGACTAACCGGCTGTAGTATTTCATAGACGTTCATTATGTGTGCAGTACTATAGCTATCTTCAGAAACAATACGATATTCGAGGCTGTTGAGCGCTAGAGAAATCTGGAAAACTGAAGTTTTGCTATAAACAGCACGATTCTCACAAAATGGACGTTTAACATACTTCTTTCTCCGTTTTCTCCAGTAGCTCTTCTATGGTGTCCAGAGCCCGATGTGCGTCCACGAGCACACGCACCAAGCTCATGCGTGATAGTGACATAAATCGTATGAGCCGCTTCACATATTTGATTTGGCAATGCAGTAACCGGAATAGGCGAGTCTCTCTCGAGGCATCCTGAAAGGACTTGAGTGCTTAAACATTTCCCACAAAGTAAGTCTCTAATAGGGAAATTCTGCTTAGTCAAAGTGGCCTTTCCAAATGAGCCCCATTTTACTATGAAGTACATTAAACGTGATTCCAAATCAATCAAATCATGTTTCCATTATCTGTCACGTGCCTGGACGGCGAAGTATGGATGCTTCTTGGATCGTGAACGCAGAATAGAGGTGGAATCCAGCTGTCTGCCAATTCTTTCCCTACTTTCAATTTTGAGCTGGTACAGAACTAGCTTCACTAGGCGCAATAAAGCTTTTTCACTGGCTGACAGAATGAAAAAAAGAAATATAAAACAATCCAAATACAAAACAGTTTCAAAGCGTATTCAAAGCAGTTAACTTTTGCAAACGACGTCACTAGCTGAAAGCACCCGAAGCTCATCACCGCTATCTCGCAATCGCAAATCACTTCCGGGAAAAACTAAGTTCTCAAACTTCCGGGGGAACACTGCTATTGGACTGCCAGGTAGAGCAGCCAAATAGGGCATTGCCCAACTACACGGCAGCGTCGTACTAAGGATTTCCTTTCGAGGGGGGGGGGGGTGGGAGCAACAAAAAAATTTTTTCGGATGAAGGTGCGTGCCCGAAAAGTGCCTAAAAAATTTTTTTGAAATGCTTCCCAAAATTCTTTCGGGCCCCTGACCCCGAAATTTCAGAAAAAGGGGGACGGCAACCACGCCCCGCAAAAACTTTTTTACAAGCCTAATTTGGATTTTTAAAATTTTTTAAAATTATTTCAATCATTTACAACTAAGAACAAGTCACACATTTTTATAACATCTACGGACCTCAGTACAGAATTTCCGTCGATCTCTGTCTCTCGCTCCAGATATCCACGATCTTCTTGGTTGCCGTCGGTGGCTGCGTCGCGAGTTTCAGGGGTAAAAACCGTATCCAACCGAAATCTCAGCTGGTCCACCCTTTCTACGAACATGTCTGCCCATCTCGATGGTGGTTTTCCTCGGGGACGTTTGGCTTGAAGGAATCCACTCCGATGTTCTTAGTGTCCATCTGTCGTCTGTTCTTCTCACAATGTGACCGACCCATCGATGCTTCGCTTTCGCAACGTAGTCCGCTGGGTCACGAAAACGGGACATCCTTCTCATATCCGTACTGCAAACTATTTGTGTCGGATTTCAGAAGAATGCGCTCAAGCACTCTGTGGGTGGCCCGTAGAGCTTTCGACGTAACTACAGCGCGTTGGCTCAAATCTCAGTTGCATGACGGAGCGTGTGGAGAACGATTGATTCGAATAACTGAACTCGAAGCACCGGGTCCGTCAGTAGGTCGGTGGCTTCCTTCAAAAGCCCGAGGGCGGATCAGGCTGCTCTTTTTCCACTTGAGTTCTTCCCTCAGGTCGTTTTTCATGTTCATAACGTCCAAGATACATGTCACGAGAGTTTCCATAACAAAAATTCCTTCCAATTCCATTTCCACCTCTTCGCAACGGACACTCTCATGTACTGAGTCTTCTTCCGATTCATTCGCAATCCGATCTTCTTCCGTACTTCGTTTAGCTCCTTCAGCATCGTCTCTGCTTCAGTGATACTGCTCGAAAAGAGAACGATGTCGTCCGCACGAAGGTTCGACAGGAATCTCCCATCAACTTGTATGCCTCTTTCGTCCCAATCCAGTGACTTCATCACTCACTGCAAGGTCGGTGAACAGCTGCGAAATTGATCGCTTTGTCGGACCTCTTCTTAAATGGGATGTTTAGGGGAGATAGAATAGCTGCATCGTCGGTGTATATCCCTTGTAGCACTCGGCTAACGTCCTTACATAAGCTGGGTCCACTCTTTGATTGACTAACGCCTACAGTATGGCGCTGTTTCGACGCTGTCAAAAGCTTTCTCCGACGAAGGTTAGAGAGGCAGTCAGTACAGACTTCTATGACCCTCGAAACTGTCTGGATGTATTCGTTAAATCCTTTGAGGAATTCAGCTTGTTCTTGAGGTTGGACTACATCCAGTGTCCTAGATATGCGAGAGAAGATAATCTCGTGAAAAGTTTGTACAGCACACTCAGCAGACATATTGGACGTGGTTCGAAGATCTTCCTGTTCACCCTTCTTGAAAAAAAGGACGGTTCTTGACTTCTATCAGTCGGGAATCCTTTCCTTCTGTAAGTAAGATGTTAAATGCGACGCTAGAATCTCGTGTAGAGCTGTCCTCCGGCTTGCAGAAATTCGAGAGAAGATGGTTTGGTACTGGAGCCGTTGACGTCTTCATGATCTGAATCGCGGTACGCACTTTAGCAGGTGCATATACGCGGGTGCTAATGAGTGAAAGAGGTTGGTGTAGAAGCTCTTCACGATAAACTCCATCTTATATCGGGTAGTCGGGGTGCCGTCGTCGTTCAGTAGTGCAGCCAGCGGTACGTAATCACAGAGGTCCATTCGGCCCTTCTTAGGACTTCGTTTTTCTTCGGCTGCCTCTAGTATCTTGGCTTGCCTGTACTTCCTGAGACCTTCCTGCAAAGCTGTTCTGCAACTGACGTTGGCTATCAGTCGCTCGAGATGGGTTGCATTCTGATCCTGCCTCAGAAATCTCCTTCTTTCGAGCAATTCCTTGGTGGTCTTCGAAATGCGTTCCAAGCTCTTCTCAGAAGTCACTGAGGTGCACTCTCCGCAGGCTCGCAATCCTTTCAGAAGCCGGTCGTAGTCGTACGTTGGGTCTCCTCGATGGGCCAGTCACAACTTGATATGAGCTCCTCCAGCTTTTTGCCGTCATAAACGACTTCCTTCCTGCTTGCGGCACCGTGACAGACTTTCTTTTCCAGCTTTCGACCAAATTCTATCTTCGCTCGAAGGAGGCGGTGATTGGGGCCACTGCAGAAAGATGAAACTACTGTGACATCCATCAAGCAAGCTCCACCTTCGGTTGGTGAGAATGTGGTCGATCTCCGCGTGAGTCATTCCATTGGGCGATTCTCACGTCCACCAGCTATGTGCTTTCTTCATGAAGATGGAATTTCCATAGAAAAGTCGTGCGGCGCAGAGAAGCCCAACAAGACTGTTGCCGTTTTCGTTCCGGAGCCCATATGCACACTTCCCAATCCTATATTCCTTTTCTAGTGTTATCGTGATTTTTCGTTGAAGTCGCCCACAGCAAACTTGTAAAATGACTTCTGGTTGCGGACGACCTCCTCCATATCTTCTTAGAAAGTCTAGTTCTGATTCGTCAGCTGCTGATATTGGAGAATAGCCGCTGATATGCTGATGGTCTTCTGACGTGGAGGTCGTAGTCGTAGGATGGCTATTTGAGATGATAGGATCTTGTGCGAATCGGCAAGGTGGACATAAATGGGTGGACGATAAAGCCAACGCCTCCAACGTTTCTTGATGGAACCTTCTCACCACAAATGAGAGTGTCCCATCACTCATCTGTCGCACGTCCTTCTTCCTGGACTTCGTTTCCTGCAGAGCGATGATGTAATAGTTGATGTGCTCTGCAGCGTCGAGAAGAGCGTGGAGGTCGGCGTTTGTGGAGACTGTCCTGGCGTTAGGTGCAGAGCATGTGGAATTCTCCGTGGCTTGTCGTCCGGGCAGACTTGTCGTTTTTGTCCAATCCAAAAGTCCTGAGGACCCTGACATCGTTCTTGCCACCAACCGGCGCCGTAGGATCTGGTGTACAGGGTTACTTTCTATTCTTATAGCCGGTGGAGTAATGAGTTTATTTACGTACAAGAGCAGGCTAACTACGCCTACTATTTCCCTGGAGCGATCGCTGACCCGGATGTGGAGTGGGGAGGACCGCCTAGCGACCGTAAAAACCAGACGGCGGGAGGATCTGGTCCGGCCGGCTCTTAGGGCCGCATGCACCAGCAACCCCGCTGGGGAGGGGATCGCAGCTCAGAAGAAAGCTTCTTACACTGAAGCTCCAGATATCTAGATTTCACGCTGTCTACCTGTCCGCAAGTATTCCTACTATCTTTTGCTATGAACATATCGAACAGGAGCGAGAAGCTGTACAAGCCGCATTTTCCAGCTTCTGTATGATCCTTGACGATCCCCGGCGCTTTTCTTCAAAGTCATTTTTCTTTCTTTGAAGTCAACGAAAACCTTCCAAAGCTGTACTAACAAGGGAAGCTACCTAACTTAGCTCGGCCTTTTAGCAAGTGACGTGTATGGTCTGAGTTAGCTTGAAACGCTGATTCCAAATATGCTATTCCTAACTGTCAAGCACCATTCCGAAGCGAGTTATGGGCTTTTCCCTGCGCAAAACTTGGCATGGTCATCGACTTACGGGCATCATGTCATTAACATTTAAGTGCTGATACACCTACCTTAAGCTGCCTTAAGATACCTTAAGCTTTTTCTAGTGAGAAAAGATTGAATCTGTACTATTTCGATACCTCAGCATCTTTTTCTTGCAGATTTTTATTTACAAGCAGTCTTCTCATGTTCAGTAGTATGCCAATTTTGCGTAGGAAAAAGCCCATCGCTTCGGAATGGTGCGTGGCAGCTGGGAATAGCAGATTTGGAATCAGCGTTTGAAGCTGATCCAGAACATACAGGGTGTCCCAAAAAAATGTTTCGAACGTTTGATCGTTAATATCTCTCTTCCCAAGAAGCCTTTTGCCTTGCTTCAGGTACCGTTTTGTAGAGCTGGCTTCAACTTAGATTTCCATTATAGAACGAATCACCATCTCTCTTCATTACTGTAGGGTTACGGTAGAAACTTTAAAGAGGGTTTTGAACCATTAAAGGCCATATTTTGCCTCCGAAAGGAGACAAAACAGCCTGAAAACTTTTACACTAGGCTAATTGGAGTTTCTGATTCTAACTGTAAAGTTACCAACTTATTATGATGCTTCATTGAAGAGTTATGCCAGGTGAGAGGTAGCGGCCTTTTTTTCAATGTTCCTAAAAAGTGCGATTACACCGTTTAGAAAGCTTCGTAATCTTGTCAATAGTTGAGTATTGAACTCAGCGTCTATAAAAACCCTATTACACAAGTTTTCACAATTTTTTGAAAAATTTTGAAACGGCAGCTTTTTCCACATTGACACCATATGTTTCAAGTTTCTACCGTAACCCTACAGTAATGAAGAGAGATGGTGATTCGTTCTATAATGGAAATCTAAGTTGAAGCCAGCTCTACAAAACAGTACCTGAAGCAAGGCAAAAGACTTCTTGGGAAGAGAGATATTAACGATCAAACGTTCGAAACATTTTTTTGGGACACCCTGTATATGTCTCTTGCCAAATGGCCGAGCTAAGTTGGGTAGCTTTCCTTATAAGTATCTAACACAACAGTGCCAAGCATGTTACTAATGCGAACAAATGAGTTTTTGAAAAATCGAATTTTTCGATAAACCACAACTTTCTGCTTGTGGTTCATCGCAAATTTCATGACTCCGACACATCACTTGTTCTTATCAGCAACATGCTAAGCAGTGTTGGGTTAGATAATATGCACAACTTTGGAAACTTCTCGTTAACTTTGGAGAAAGAAAAATGACTTCAGAAAAGCGCCGGGGATCATCAGGGACCATACAAATGCTGGAAACTGCGGCTTGTACAGCTTCTCGCTGCCGTTCAATGTGTTCGTAGTGAAGCATGGTAGGAACACCTACGGTTACGTACACAACGTGAAATCCAGATATTTGGAGCTTCAGGATATGAAGCTTTCTTTTAAGCTGCGATTCCCTCCCTGCGAGGATGTTAGTGCATGCGGCCCTCAAAGTCGCGTGCATTTATATCCCCGCCGGGGAGGGGATCGCAGCTTTAGAAGGAAGTTCATATCCTGAAGCTCCAGATATCTGGATTTCACGCTGTCTATCTATTCGTAAGTGCTCCCACCATCCTTCACTATGGACTCTTGAATGGGAGCAAGAAACTATACAAGCCGCATTCTCCAGTTTTTGTTCGATCCCGTGTGATCCCTGGCTGCCGACTGTCTTTTCTATGAATTCATTTTTCTTGTTTCGAAGTCGATGAAAACATTCCAAAGTTGTGCTGTCTATCTGAATGGCCGGACATAGTTCATGCGATTTCAGTTCGCGACGCGATTTGGCAATATTCCAACTGTGCATAACTCGTGTAAGCACTTTTTAAATGCATAGAAGATGAGGCATTCTATCATCCCACGTAAGTTATACACATTATGCATATGCAGTTTGCTAGTGTTGAATCTGAAGACTTCCGGTGAATTGCCAAATCGCGTCGCTACTGAAATCGCGTAAAGTACGCCCGGCCCTTAACCCGACAGTGCTAATTATGTTTCCGGTAAGAACAAGTGATGTTTCGCAGTCATGAAATTTGCGATGAACCACAAGTCGAAAGTTGGGGTTTATCGAAGAAATCGATATTCCAGAAACTCATTTGTTCTCATCAGCAACAAGCTTAGCACTGCTGGTTTGGATACTCAATACACCTTTGGGAGGTTTTCGATAACTTCGAAGAGAGAAAAATGACTTCGAATAAAAGACGTCCGGCCGCGAGGAATCATCAGGGGATCATACAAAAAGCCGGAAAATGCGGCTTGTACAGCTTCTTGCTCCCGTTCAAGATATTTATAGTAAAGGATGGTAGGAGTACCTACGGATAGGTAGACAGCGTGAAATCCAGAATCTGGAGCTTCAGGATATGAAGCTTTCTTCTGAAGCTGTGATCCCCTCCCCGGCGGGGATGTTAATGCATGCGGCTCTTAGCTAGGTATCCGGCCGAAACCGTGAACTTCAAACTATTTTACAGCTTGGGATGCCCTACCAGAGTATACACTCCTGTGCATCGCATTTCGATACCCAGTGTCACCTCCACGCCACATTGAGGCGGCAACCATTGTGGGGACTCCTCCAACACTCTCTACGAATTTGGACAAAGGTTATGCTGACTTTCTCTCAGTGATTCCAAAAGCTTCAACCCAACGATCCTCTTTAGAGCCAACAGTTTTCAACCGAGGGAGCCTATCTAAAATTTGGTTACAGTAGATACGAGAGCGTAAATATATCTTCAGTAAATGTGTTTATCATTTGTCGTGGTTATAAGCAGAACCAGCTAATTGAACTGTTTAGGTGAAAAATGTGCTAACCAAACTAGAAGTACGTCGATTTAGGACTTCATCATTGGGAACCAGGATTTCGAATGGTCAAATTGCGTAAGATCGCGTAATTGCGCAGTTCTCTAGATTAGGCGGTAGATTCCCGGGACGAGGGCGCTTTGCAGCGATTTCTTCCTCCCACCCCCAGTGAATGAGGGGTCCGAAGCTGCTATCTAACTTTTAAAGGCCGTTAGAGCTGGGAGTGCCCCACCTAAGAGAGATCCGGCTTCCCCATTGCACCTCTGCTGAATAATAAGAGTATTGGGTTCAGTTCAAGGTGACATTGCAAATGGATGCTACCACTTTATCCTTTCGGTAATTCTATGGGTTGTAAGCTCGCTGAAGATTAGGAAGCTCAAAAAGTTTCTTTGGAAGGCATGATTAGCGACACTCTCCTGTATCTAAAATAATTTTTGCGCCCCTTCGCGCCCCTTCGCGCCCCTTCCGCGGAATCCGCGCCCTGGGTGAAATCAATCGTTACGGTCACTTCATACTCAAAGAGAGCCAAAAGGTATCCATTGCATAAAAGTACCCTGATATGCACCCTAACTCATCTGAGCAGTTCTGAGCGATTTTGTCCCATTTTCAGTTTTAGAACCCAGAAAACGCACATAATTCGGCGTCCAAAAAATTTTGAGTCAGTATTCAATGGTCTTCATAGCGATATAGTGAACGAAGCCAATTTGACTTAAAAACCTTCGCGTAAGTGTAGCCGTAGCTGTGCAGTGAGAAACAGGTATCTCTGCGTAGTACGAATGTAGGACCTACTCTTTATAAAAATTTGTGCTGATACGGTCTTATTGGAAAACCCAGATTGTTTGAACGGCAATGTCATTCTGACTAAGTTGATGCATAAGTAGCAAACATTTTTTTAGACACTTATTTGTGCTGACTGACATAATTTTTTACGAAATTGATTTCTTTGCAAAATCCAACATCATTACATGACTATTTGGTCGTCGCAATGCTATTTCCAAAAACTCAATAAGTTGTTGGGGCTCAAAAAACCTTTGGATCTGTCATCGTGAAAGAGTCCCTCTGTAGCTAAGAATTCAAAATGTATATCTACCGATTTTGATTTTGCATGAATTGATCCAGAACAGAAAATGAAAAGCAGAACCAGAATTTGCGCTGCTTGATCCCTCACTTGACTATCTACAAATGCTCAATCACTACGCTGAAACCAGGAGGTTCTCGTAGGTTAATGGCATATATGAGTAAGAATAATCCAAATTATTTGCAAAATTATGTTTTTTGATTCAAAAATTATTTATGTTTGCAAAATTCACAAAACTTATAGAATAACTCCTTGAAACCTAGAGAAAAGCTTGCTACGCTCAAGTGAGTAAGATCAATTTTTAGTGCAGTTTTCGGTAACTGCGATATCTGATGAAGTGCTCAGCACAAGGCAGCATTATGCTTCTGTCCCAGCTGTAAAATGCTTGATCAATTCTGAAAGTTAACTTGAGATCTTTGGATTAGGACCAGCTCATCGAACTCGGCGAAGTGAGTTCTTTCGTTGGTTGCGAGTTTCATAGCCGCGCTAAGAGCACTTCCGCCGCTCGACCGCTTTAATAATCAACACATCTGGTTGCAATTAACGACACTACCATCGCAGAACATAACCATTCACTGTTTTGGCATTCGGCCACATTTTCGCTCTTTGTTCGCGTAGCATTGCACCCCATCATGTCGCTAGTTCCAGTTCTCTCTTCAAACTAAACTCACTGGTATTGTAAAATCACTGGATTCTTGTGCACTTCTGCCTGTACGGCTGCTTCTGTAATATCATAAGTTAGTTCTTTCTGCTTGTCGTAAGTTTAGGCAAGTTTTTTTTTGTTGAGGAACAAAAATGTTTTTTCCATCCTTACATGTCGAATAAACTATGGTGAGATTAGGATACTTGGAAAAATCGTGCCACTTCGAATCTCTTTCATTAACGCTTCTTAAAGCTGACAAAAAGTCTACCTCCGAAATAGAATATTCTATAGGAAATTCCTTTCAAAAATTCAGGTAGATCAAATAAACCTTCAAGACATAATCAACATTCGTTGCGTGTGAACGCGAAAGCAGAGGTAGAATCGCGAATCAAAACTGGGATGCCCTATCAAGTCTTGCCTTCATCAGCTTTCAAAATTCTGCTTTGATACGTAGAGCATCTATAACGTTTTAGAAAGACTGATTTGCGAGTCTTCGTTGGAGAACCACCTTTTCTCTGGATAAAGACAACCTAACCTCATTGGCAAGCGGTTACTTATTCTCTATATCTCTCCCGGCGCGTAACCTCAAGTCTAAATGCGGTCTCAAGCGTAATGGAAACGTACAAGAGAATCCTTTTTACCTGAAGTGGCCTTTCCAAATGAGCCTGATTCCCAATCCCTTTTTATTATCTGCCAAGCGCCTCTGGATGTCGAGTTATGAGATTCTGGAGCGAAATGAAAGCTGGATGTAGGTAAAGTTGTAGTCTTTTCAGCACTCAGACAGACATTGTGAGTATTGTGTGTTGTGCAAAATTATCCATCAATTGGTAATAATGCGTGATCAATTCTGGCATTTAAGCAATTTGGGCGATTTTGTATTTTGCGATTCAAATTTTCAACACAAGAGCTCATAATCGCCAAGAGAATGGCATAATGAAAGCAGGTTTGAAGTCAGCGTTTAATGCCTTTCAAAGTGGTGAAAAACTCCTTGGCAAAAGCCTTTTTGACTAAAGGCTGCGCCTGTGATTGATTTTCCTTCTGATATGTCCCCACCAGAACTGAGAGAAGTCGAATTTCTCTTTACGGATTGCTTTCGAATCCGGTTAAGCTTATCCCAATGCATGAACAAAGGTTATATGCTGTGTCGTGGTTTATCCTCACAATTCCCCAATTTTCCTCGCCTTTCACAAGGTTTGAATAATATTTCAGGCTCACCTTTGTGATGTTTCTTCTTTGCTTATCTCAGAGCTGAAAGTATTACCACTGATTCCTGACATACTCTAGAAAATTGGTAGTTATTGATACTGAAGTGCGAAGGGCACATTCATACGCCCAAATCCACGCTTACTTTCTCGATGGTATTTAGTTCATCTCTAAGTTGGGCTTCTTGCAGAGATGAAGCTGATTTGAAGCAGTCCAGTCTTGGTCCATAGTTAATGCGACTGGTCATAGAGCTTGCATAGGAAACACTGAATCAACAGTCTTAGCGAGTTCATAATAATTTAATGATAATCATGGTTGGTTATCTTGTTTATGAAGTCTAGTAAACCATTCTCCAGAAAGTGGTAAGTGAGCGGTCAGATATACCATGAAAGCACTGAATAAAAAGTCTCAATTCCAACGTTGCATAATTCTGGAATGTTTTTCTCCTAAGATCAGAAATTTGATAGTATAGTTTAGCGCGATAGGATGTCGATTACCTCACATTCTGATTGAGCGGAGTTTTTCTACGATTAGAAACCACTAGCTTTCCCACATAAACTATTGTGAAGGTCACTTAAATTTGAATGAGATTAGTAATTAATTCTCAGTTTTTCATCGAACCTCGCCCTCCGCAGGGGGCCGTGACGGTTAAGGAAGCCAAGGCAACTCGACTCCATAGCGTTCAGATTTTCTTCATTTTCGTTCCGATCATTTGGGTTTCCATTCGTGGTAAAATATCATAATACACTAAAGGGAATTAATTTTTGTCATATCGAGAAAAACTATACGATGAGGGATCCGTTTCGGCCTGTCTTTGTGTACTGTTGTGTTGTTTATTGCTATCTGAACTCTGATATGAGCTATGATGTGATTCATGAGATAAATTGGCCTCCATGGCAAAAGAAAACTTAGGAAATTTGCGCCCATTTAATACAATCGTTTCTCCACATTCACTGCAAAAGCTTTTCTGATCTCTATAAGTTACTCTACATGAGAATTTTTTGGAGCACCTGTTTTTGATGTCAGAATTGTTTGAAATCGAAGTTTATGTCTTTTGAAGCACCTAAGAAGAGTTCAAAAAATCTTGTGTTGGAATAGTGGAAGAAATACGATATTTCTCTGTGAACTAGATTTGACCAATGCGCACATTATTGAAGTAACACAGAAATTTCTAATCTGGGGGGAGGGGGGAATGGCCAGCTTATTTTATAGCTGCTAGAACTACATACAAATATATCAGTTTTTCAAAAGTGCTTCAGAATCTTTCGGCTTCTGCTTAGCTGTAATCCATGTTATGATGAGTTTGTGAAAGCGAATCTGAAACATTGCTGAAGAAAATACGCGTTGCATCCACCGATCAGAACTTACCATTTTCACAAATTAAAAGATTGATCAAAGTTTCAAAATGCAATGGGAAAAAACGTTTTTTTGAAAGTGAAGGTGAACTCGAAAGAATGTCAAAGCGGCTCATTGATTATTATATCCGGAAGTTCAAAGCTTTTTCAAATCGAAGCTACCATATTTTTTGGAAAAAGTAACTCGTAATCACGGAACAAACGCGCTTTTTCGTCATGCTAGAAGATTCGATCATTCCTACAAACATTTTAGTTCTTCGTTGTTTCGAAAAACAACTTTGATAGATATGCATAACTGACCAAAGTACATTAGCTGACAGCATTTAGGCTTCGAGGATGGGGCATGGACGATCTTGAAATTTTACAACGATTGCTAGTCGGCAAACCTGTTAGAAAATTTATAGTAATGAGCTGAATCTCGAAACGCACATGGATGACACCTGCCTTTCGAGGGAATTAGGAGCGCATAACGACCTCGATTCACTGTGGTTATACAATAAAGCGCGTTATTCGATGCGACACCAGTTGTATGAAGAACACGAGACACTGAAACCATTCTAAGCCTCTTTTCGTATCCAGGTGGGAGCCAGGTCGTCTGAGTTGGCTCACCTTCAAGTGTTGAATTCCTGTAGTATGCTTTATCGAGGTTAGGTCATCTACGATGGTTTTTATTTACTATACATGTCATGAGAAAATCTAAGCCCATATAGTAGCTATGCTGTTCTTCTTTGTTCTTTGGATCTTAGAGTTTTCTTGTGAATCGTCCAGTTGGAAATTTCTACACCAGGGCTCTGTCCTCTATCCTTCTTTTTTCGATATCTGATGGTCCGCAAGTTTTGAATTTTACACATAGTGGCATTACATAAGAATGAATGAACACTAAGCTCTCTTCTTTTCTATAATATTTGACTCGATATGTAGCTGTCGCATCTCGAGCTAGCTGTACATAGTCGCTTTTAGAGTATAGTAAACTTATTGCACTAGCTGGTATGCTCGGCTTCGCCCGCACCTTGTTTTTAACTGGCTTAACAAATGGCAAATTCGGTCTTGCAGGGCCAACTTATCTATTTTCTGCTACTCCTTTAAGCTGGGCAGGTATATCCTAAGGCCTCGGGAAGAGTCCACGCGATCTCATCGTCGCAATTCATCACTACAAGACAAATGTTACGAGTTCATTGCATGCCGATCTTCTTGTATTTCGATTGTGACAGTTAGTCACGATTAGTCGTGTTGGAAAACTATCACAACCGAAATACAAGAAGATCAGCATGCAATGATATTGTTACAGTTGTCTTGTCGCGATTAATCTAGTTGTAAGCGGTCTGATATCAACTGATAAGAGTTCATTTTTTTCAAAACCGATAAATCAATAGAAAAAATGAAATTTCGCTGCGAAAAGTAGCCTACGGGACGGATCGGTGTCGAAAAGATATGTGTGCGAAGTTTGGCTCCGAGGTCCATACACAACACTTTCCATAAAGAACACACTAACTAACAATTTACCATCACTTAGCTTTATATATGTATAGAAGAGTATCTGATTCACTTCCACATATTAGCCTGTCCGTATTTGGAGCACCAAAGATGCCTTACGGTATTAAATAAGCTGTATTTTTGTCATGCTGTTGGAGCATTCATCCAAAATACACCTGCAATTTTTCTAAAGGTGTTGTACCCTTGACTACAAATTCATGCATGATCTACGTATCTGAATGTCACATCATGGGATTTTTTGTATTCCTAAGCTTTGATAGTCATGGATCTTTCTGCGTCGTTTTTGTATAATATCCAGGGCCCGGCGGGGGTGGCGCTTTCACAAGTTGGATATTGTTTTTGGCCCGCCGATCGCTAGCCTGCCCGCAGGCGGGAATTCAAATCACAATTCTTGTAAGAGGAAAATAACAAAATAGGCTCGTTTTCAATGCACAAGTAACGATATGGCACCAAATTTGCTGTATAGTTGGAGGACCATGAGCACAAAAAAAGTATGAAGAATTATGAGAAACTTATGTGAATTTAAAAAATGGTAAGTGTTTTTCGAAATTAGGTGGCTCTCGCACCACCTGGGAGCAACCTGGGGTGGTCCCTGCTTCCCTTCACATAATTTCCCGGATTTCTTTACATAAATGTGGACTAGGTCGAGAGTATACTATATGTTCAAATCTGCTTCCAAATTCACCAAGGCACCGCTTCGATACAGCCCCAAATAGGGTTCACAGCGTTATGATCGGCCTCGGAAAGCGCGCTCCAATCGCATTCGGTTATTGTAAATTGTAAAGTTTCGCAGCTGACTAATAAATGAGTAGTATCTTAGATGTATAAACGTCAAAGTTTGTGCAAATCTTGACCCTATGTTTTTTTATAGATTCCTTTGCGGATGAACCCATTGAGCTGAAACCTTGAAAACATATGTTTTCGGCCTCGGTAGATGGTTTTAAGCTACCCTTCGAAGCAATTCGTGGAATTCTTCTATCGATTTAATGATTTTTGGCACCTTGCAAGGAAAGTGAACACTTACTAGCCGCTAACAAACTGCTTGCAATTTTGGTGTGAACAATGCAGTGAAGTTCATTTCCACATTAAAATTAGAAGGTGCAGTCACTCCAACAAGCCTTTCTGGGGTAAGCTTGTGCAGGAGGGTAAGGGGAGGGCTGCAGTGCAGTATTGATACTGCAGAAAAGGGGTGGAGAATATGGCCCAAAAGGACGGGAAGGTAGAAGGACAAAGTGTGGTTTTTGGCCATCCCCTCAAACGATAACCCGGGCTGGACCAGGAAAGCCAGGTAGTACTACTATAATAAGCGCTGAGGCCGCCCATCTTATTATTTGTGTATATCTGTTTGTCAGGGACTTACGGGGGTCAAAAATACGGTCAAAGGGGAAGTCGTAAGAAATTTTGGCTTCAAAGGGGATATCGTTTTCAAAATTCTGAAATGCCACCTCCTGCCGGGCCCTGACAATATCTCTTACCCACTTGCCATGCCTTGCTGCTCATTTTTGACTACTTTTAATGAAGGATGCTTGGTATTAGCAAAAACCACCCATTTTTCCTTTTGGACACCATCAGAAATCAAAATAAGCTCTGCAAGGGAGGAAAAGATAGCATGAAAACTCTAACTTGAAATACTGAGGATATAATATAAACTAATCTCGGTATGTGGACAATGCTTCTCAAGCTTTCAGCTTTTATCTCGTCACCGTTCACAATCAAGCCACATATAACGTGAAAAGATTGTCGTCAAAAATTTGCGAGTGTGCCCAATTTAGTCTTCGGACATTTCAGCTTTTACGAAATTTGCCTTTGTCTTAGAACTTCATGGTAAGCTGAAAGTTTCTGCCACAATTGTGTGATATATTGGATGCAATACTTGCTGAAAAGACTACTTTTCTAAAAAGCTGTAAATTTTTCACAATAAAGATGCAGTGGCGCGCAGGTTTTGATTGACGAATTAGTTTGTTGTATGTGTGAAAAATAGTTATTTATAGTCAGAAGCTTTGGCATATGTTAATAACAGGTTACGTATATATCGAGATATTTGACTCAAAAGCTAGCGACGCTTGATTGCAATTTTTGATTAGGCATGTACTCCTACTGAATTTACCAACTATTTGTGCGCGAAATACTTGCGCTTGATTCACTCTAGTTTGATAAAAGATTGTGGCTGCGAATTTTCTTTATTGGAGTATATGTAAGTTTTGGGAAGCATCAGTATATTCAATATAGTTTACGTCAAAATTCGTCTATGAAAACAAGCTCTCAACATTCCTGAAAGATGCAACTGTTCTAAGATTCCTAACAAAATCTTGAAGTCACGGAAGTGGTTTTCTCTCTCCTCATGATTTCGGAAACTGTGCCAGTTGAAACCCATCATTTTCTCTTTGTAACAAATTTAATGCCAAAC